CTACCCATGGAAATCAAGTTTATGCTGGGACAGATGACAAAGCAATAAGACAAGTGAAATCCAGCAGAAACCTTGACTAATGGAGACATATTTCTACAATTATGAAGGAAACACAATAAGGGAAAAGGGATTCTTAACAGTAGAAATACCACCTGCACTTAAAATGATAGTCAAGGCTTTGCTTTAGGAAAGTTATATATATGAATTCTAACAGTCATACCCACTTTTAGTGTATATATTTGGAATGAAGATGGCCAGTTACAGTTTTTCCAATACAATTTTGTATCAGGCAACTTTCCCCTAAAATATTTATGGTAAAATCATGAGATAAAATAATATCAGAATCAAAGGCAATATAACAATCAAAAGTCCTTCAAAATGGAGGTGTTGTATTTATTTTACATTCAAGATTTGCTGAGTGCATGTTGTGTTCTAGGCATTGCCTTGAGACCAGGAGATACTGAGATAACAGTTTTACCCTCAAGGAACTCAAAGACTAGTTGGTACAGTCTTGTGTGATGCAAATTGGTCAGGGCTAAAACTGCTATGTGAGTGTCAGTAAGTCAAGGAAATGCTCTGCTGAGGAAATTAAGTATTAAAAGAAGTTTGAAGGAGAAGATTTTCTTGCCAGACAGAGAAGGGCAGAGGAGAAGAGCCCACAGTCAGAAGGAACAGCACGCACCAGGGCAGTGAAGGGTAAAGCTCACTGTATCTGATGGTGTGCAAGGGAGAAAACGCAGGACATGGAGTCATTAAAAACTAAGTGGGGCTTGTGAAGGGCTTTGTATTACCTGCTCAAAAAGATTGCATTTTCTAATATGAGCATCAGAAACATTTAAGTATTTTATGCTGCTGTTGAGGTAAGTGGGAAAACTTAGGCTCATTTGATCAGAAGAATTTTGTTTGTTTTAATTGACATATCTCTTTGCAATTAAGTTGTATTTTGAAGACATATCCTTTTTTTATTAATTATACTTTAAGTTCTAGGGTACATGTGCACAACGTGCAGGTTTGTTACATATGTATACATGTCTTCTTAAGTGGATAGGGTTTTGTTCACAAAGTAGCCCCAACAATCCTTTTTTAGCAAATGAGTGTCTTCTTACCATGCTATAGAGAAGCACTTGCACCACCACCCTCAGATAGTAGCAACACTGCATTCTTTGCCTTCAACATTTGATCAAGACTGAGATCTTTCCTGTTTTAGAATAAATTTTGATAGCAAGCACAGCAGGAAGCAGTAAACAAAAATGCAGTAAAACTTTATGGCATTTTCTGTGGCAGTATGTTGTCACCTTTACTGTCACCACAGTCTCTACTTCTAGGAAATGCCATCTCTCCTTGTGACAGCTGGCTTTGTCATGGTAAAAAGAGAGATCCTTTACTTAACACAATTAATTCCCTCATGCAACTTTAATAAGGTTCAAGGGTGTATCCCCAGAGACACAGTGACAGGAATCTTCCCTAACATAAATTGATTATTTCCCTCTAGAGTTAAAGAAATCTGTTTCCTTGAGTTCCTTGCTCCTTTTAGTTCAAGCTAGGATAGTAATTTGTTTTCTGAAAATGTTAGTGCTTGTTTATGTTCCTGGATCCTGTCAAGACTCTGGATTCCCATTCAAAGTTCATGGCCTCAAAGTTGTGCAAATGCATGGTAAGCCAGGCACAGAAAGACAAATACTGCATGTCCTCACTCGTTCGTGGGAGCTAGAAAAATATATCTCACAGAGGTAGAGAGTAGAATGATGATTACCAGAGGCTGGGAAGGGAGAGGTGAGGATGGAGAGAGGTTAGTTAATGGGCACAGAAGTACAGTTAAATAAAAGGAGTAAGTGCCATTGTTTGACAGCATAGTAGGGTGACTGTAATTAACAATAATTTATTGTATATTTCAAAATATCTAGAAGAAAATATTTGAAATATTCCCAACACAAATAAATGATAAATGTTTGAGATAGTGGTTATACTAATTATCCTGAGTTGATCATTGCACACAGTATTCATATATAAAATATCACATGCATCTTATAAATATATATGATTATTATATATCTGTAAAAAAAAAGAATGTGTCTATGCAAAGGTATTTCAATCATGGAAAAATATCTGTTTATTTTGAAAACTAGAAAAACAGTTCATCAGAAATATGTCTATTAACATATCTGTTTCCAGTTCTTACCCTGAGGAAACAATTTTTGCATTCATATAGTTTGCTATGAAGATATTTTACTGTGTTTAATCAGTCTCCTATTTTTTTAGAGATGACGCTATTTACTTAATGTTGAATTAACATTTCATACAGCTTTTTACTCATGAGGCTACCTTTCTGTGTCATTGTGCTCTTTACATGTTCTGACCACATTAGGAAAAATCTCTCAACCCTTTCTTAAGCAATATTTCTTTTTCCACATGATAACATTCTATAACAGAATGAATACCAAACTTAGAAGTCCTAAATTCTAGACTGAAGACTGTCATTCATGAAATAAGTGACCTTAAAAATGTCCTTTCACCTCTAAGTCTTATTGCTCCCATTTTACAAGTTGAGAAATAATAATACATCCCTGCCTGTCTTAGCACTTTTTTGTAGATCCAATGGGGAAAATGTACCTGAAAGCACATTGTATAAATTTACAAACATACAAACATTTGTTGAATAACATAAGTTCATGTGCCTAAAATTCAAAATTGTTCTTCAGAGACTGTGCCTTTATTTAATTCTCAATAGAAGGTCAATTCAAAGCATTTTTATTGGGAAGTGAACTAATGTAGCCCTGGTGAGCTTCACACAGGAATTTAGCTTGGACAGCCTATATAAATGGATGGCTAATGTGCCTCTTTAACCATCTCATTTAGTGGCAGCCTTGTCTTCTGAAATTATAAGACTTAATCAATTTAAGATGGAACCCTTGTGAATGTAGGTAGTGCAAAGATCCTGGGGTAATGATTTAAGTGTGATTCATGTGCTTTAGAATTGAAGTTTGGCAGGTCATGAAATTGACAACCTGTAGTAAAGATTTCAAAGCATATTGAATTTTTCTCATATTCATTGTTTCACTTCTCAAATGTGGGACTGAGAGATGTTGTTGTCTTCAGAAGTTTTAGATTTGCTGAAAAGCCTAGACAAGTATTCAGTTGAATCCCTTGAGTTTCAGGCCAGCGGAAGGGCAGAAATAGTTTTGGCCTGGCAATTTCAAGACAGGTGTTACCAGTTGGTTGCCCGAACCATGGAAGAACCTCCTTCTGGCCTTTTTTAAAATGCCTGACTTTGAGCAGTGTTACCTCCTGATGGACCTGCCAGGGAGAATTAGTTTCAGAATGCACTCACAGTAAGTAGACTGAATTAAGTTGCTGGATGAATTAGGAATATGTACTTAGATGTTGAAGAATGTCTGCCCAAAACAGCAGTCTTGAATGAATCTTCAGTTCAATAAAGTTGAACTACCTCTTTTTGTTTCCTGATTATATTTAGCCCATAGGTTCATTTGCTTCTATTAGCGTTTTGTGGTTCATGACAGTACAATAAAGTCATAGAAAGTCCTTTATAAAATACAAAGTATTGTAGCAATGAAGGCAAAGTATTACATTATGTTAGTTATATGAATATAACCAAAGTAGAAAATATATGTGTGTGTCCTGCTTTCTGAAATATGTTTTCCTCAATTTGAAGAATACATATCTTTTAGAAAAGCCAACTTTAAGTGAAATTCCATTTTCTGGTGTTCTTCCATGATTCAAATACTGATGTGGTCATTAGGAAAATAAATTATCTGAAGAATTTTATTATGCGTTTTAAGTGTAAAACGAAGACTCTTCAACGATTCTTAAGTGTTTGGGGGCTGTGAAAGCTAAATGTCTCACCTAGAAAACAGAATGAAGTACATACAACACAATTTGTTGTTCTATAATTCCATGGGGTTTCAGGTTCACTGATGGGTTCCAGGACTCTCAGACACTCTGCAGTGCTTATCTCTACTTATCTGCATTGCAGATCTTTTTATTTCTTTCCAACTCTCATTCCATAGCTTTCCCTTTTTCTGCAGACTTTCTCTGTAGCAAATCTGGTATGAATTCTTCTGTAGCAACCTCACCATCACTGAAGGCCACTTTGTCTCTGGCCTATAATAAGCATAGGCTTCAACCAGAAATGGCAAGAGTGAGACCTACCATTCACCAGGTGTCTACTCCAAATAGGTAGTAGTGCTTAGTGTGCTGAGTGCTTTACATGCAATTTCTCCACTCCGCATTGTTTTGAAGCGTCCGATGATTTTTGTGCACTATCGTGCATCCCATTCACCCAGAATGAGCAGAGATATCATCAGTACTTAAGAGATGATGGATCCATATCTCTCATTCTGTTTAAGAATCCCAAATCACTGATTAAGATCCCCAGACTACTTATGCCCCTCTAGGATCTTTCAGAATGAGGACGTCTTTAGATCAGGATGTATGTTCATTCAGATGCCTAACCTACCCAGTCACCACTTGGGCTTGGTTGGAGTTGGAGCAGCTTTTCAGGCTTTCTTATTAAGAAATTTCTTTTTCATGGCTCACACCTGTAATCCCAGCACTTTGGGAGGCCGAGGTGGGCGGATCACAAGGTTAGGAGATCGAGAGCATCCTGGCTAACATGGTGAAACCCCGTCTCTACTAAAAATACAAAAAATTAGCGAGGCGTTGTGGCAGGTGCCTATAGTCCCAGCTACTCGGGAGGCCAAGGCAGGAGAATGGCGTGAACCTGGGAGGCAGAGGTTGCAGTGAGCCAAGATCGCACCACTGCACTCCAGCCTGGGCGACAGTGCGAGACTCCGTCTCAAAAAAGAAAAAGAAAAAAAAAAGAAATTTCTTTTTCACCAAGCAAATGCTAAAATGTTTAAAAATAAATAAGTAGGAATAAAAGAAAACCAAAAGAAATATCACTTCCCTGCTTCATTTCTCTGAAATTTGGTCACTACTTTGCACCTCTAACTATTGCCTTTCACTTTGCTGTATCCACATAGGTAACAACATTGACTCAGGAAGTTTCTCAGTTGGGTAAAGACATGAGAAATGTGATCCAGCTTCTGGAAAACGTTCTGTCACCTCAGCAGCCATCACGGTTTTGCTCTCTGCACAGCACCTCTGTGTGTCCCTCCAGGGAGAGCTTACAGACCAGAATGAGCTGGAGTGTGCACCAGCCTTGCCTACACTTGCAAACAGGCGGGGCTGCCTATACGCAAGCACAACTTTGTAGCAGTAATATCACCTCAGACATTTGGAGTGTGGATCCCTCCTCTGTGGGGAGCAGCCCCCAACGAACTGGAGCTCATGAGCAAAATCCTGCAGACAGTGAACTTTATCATTCTCCAAGCCTTGATTATTCACCTTCCCACTACCAGGTTGTCCAAGAAGGTCATTTGCAATTTTTAAGGTGCATCTCTCCACATTCAGATTCTACGCTGACACCTCTGCAGTCCATTTCAGCAACTCTCTCATCCTCTGTCTGCTCCTCTTCGGAGACATCTTTGCACCTAGTTCTCCCAAGCAGATCAGAGGAGGGCAGCTTCAGTCAGGGAACTGTGAGTTCCTTCAGTCTGGAAAACTTACCAGGATCTTGGAACCAGGAAGGAATGGCATCAGCGCCTACAAAACCTTTGGAGAACTTTCCACTGGAAGTTGTCACAAGCACAGCAGAAGTGAAAGATAACAAAGCCATAAATGTATGATATTAGTGCCCATGAAGCAGCTGCTAATTTCAAACCTACCACTGCATGACAGTTTTAGTTTGCCTTTTTTGCCTCTGGTGGGTAGGAAGACTGAGCAAAGCTGGGAATCCTGCAGAAAAGAGTGTGAGGAGTCAGGGAAAGGCAGAACCACCTCCATGCTGTAGCAAACAATTTCTAGATGCTAGAAGCATAATAGAAACATTTTTCTGTACAGGTATTAAACTACTGGTCTGTTTGACAGACATTGGTAACAATCCAAAGACCCTGAGGGTCTGAGCAGCTAGAAGTCCTAGACAAAGAATTTGTGGATGACTTTTGTCCCGGGTGGCTTTTGTGAAGTGTGGCAAAGGTTTTTCATGAGTGCCTGATTGTCATTCCTGAACAATATCCATAGCACTGTTGGCCTCAGGAGTGTACAGCTCCTGCTGATCTATTTTTCTTTTTGTGAAGGCAAAGGGACAATTATCACTGCATGTCATCTCCTAGACAATCAGTCAAATAGAACTGGTGGCCAATTGTTAGCTATTCGCACGTTATTTGCCATGTAAATGAAAACGTCTTTATTTATCAAAAAAACACAGAGGCTATTTTTATATCCTTGGTATGAAATATGTATTTAAACTATTTAAATATTTATAAAGAAATGAATGTTTTCTTTTCATTTTGGTAAAAAAAAAAAAGCTTGCTGTTTTAACAAGAAATGCACTACTGTTGTGTATAGTAGATCAAAAATTATTTATTACTAAGAGGATGTAGTTTCCAAAGGAATCCCCCATTTTCTCTGCATGTAGTTTGCAACAAATGTATTCTCATGCTTCTGGATTATAAAAGAAAAGTGAAGTCATATTTTGTTGATGAAATAAAAACATGGACTGAGTGTCAACTACATGAGCTTTGGCATGGGGGTAGACAGGCTCCATCTAGGCTCTGCCGACTCATGTCAATGACCTGATTCAAGGTCGTTGTGCCAGCAGAAATGTCTGTCCTCTAGGCATCATATTTTGTGGCTCAAGAATTCAAAATGGGTCTGTGGACATAGGGCAATTTTGGACTCAAAGTGAGGGAGAAAACCTGGGTGTGTCCTTTCCCAGTGCTTTTCTTTTACAAGAGGTAGTAGACCAGTGGAAATCCCCAAATGGAGCCAAGACTTCTGAGCTGTAACTTGTGGGAGTAATACCAGCTTGCAGTGGGTCAGCACTTTACCTTTTTTCTTTAAGGCTCCACAACGCTATGCAGTGCAGTTGTTTTCATTCCTATTTTTCATAAATCTCAGGGGAAGCCCCAGAGATTACACAGTTAGGAATGCTGACACAGTCTAGAATCCATAATGTTCCCTACATCTCTCACTAACAGGCAAATTCAGATGCTGGGATTGGCAATGATTTAAGCACCTTCACTTAAGTTTTATGTTATGTTTTAGAGCAGTTATGGTCTAATTGTCTTGGACATTTTGGGAAGACATATTGGGTTCACATTCTGGAGTTCTCTATTTTCCACCACAAAGAATAAACAATCTGAGAATTGTATCATTAAAAGTATCTAAACACACCAAGACTTCTGATGTTGTGAGAATCTTGCACCTTAAAACTGGATAGAACAGCAGAGAGAAAAGATATCTTTTCTAAGAAAAATGAACACAGGACATGTTTATAAGGTAGGTCACTCAGGACTCAATGCCTTCTACTTTCCTCCTCTCCAAAATTCAGTCTTTCCCTAAGTTAAGGCGAAAAGTGAGACAAAGGCAGCATTCTAGATTTCATGTATTCATTTACATTCTCCCTTCTGCTCTTCTTGACCTGTGTAATCATTTTAAGTGCAGTTCAAAAAGAGTTAACTGGTGTTGGCTCACAGGTGTCCTTCCGGCAAATTACACTGCTATTACTAATGCTAACAAGAATAACTGGCATTCTGTTTCTTGAGTATTGACTTTGTACCAGTCAGTTTTTAGGAATTAATACACATTATACTTCCTCGTGTATTAACCAACACTGCTAACAGTTACTTATTTGTTATTATTATCCCTATTTTACAAGTGAATAATTGAGGCACAGATTTTTTTTTTAACTTGCCCAGTCACATTATTTTAAATGATTGAGGCCGGGCGCGGTGGCTCAAGCCTGTAATCCCAGCACTTTGGGAGGCCGAGACGGGCGGATCACGAGGTCAGGAGATCGAGACCATCCTGGCGAACACGGTGAAACCCCGTCTCTACTAAAAAATACAAAAAATTAGCCGGGCGAGGTGGCAGGCGCCTGTAGTCCCAGCTACTCGGGAGGCTGAGGCAGGAGAATGGCGTAAAACCCGGGAGGCAGAGCTTGCAGTGAGCTGAGATCCGGCCACTGCACTCCAGCCTGGGCGACAGAGCGAGACTCCGTCTCAAAAAAAAAAATAAATAAATAAAAATAAATAAATAAATGATTGATAGACTCATGGCTGCTCTAAGTACCTCTCTCTTCATGTTCACATGCATGCTTGTTGAGCTTTGAAACTTTACTAATAATTACAATTGACCACTGAACAATGAGGGGCAAGGGGGCTGGCCCCACACACAGTTAAAAATTCATATATAACTTTTGACTCTCCAAAAATTTAACTTTAATAGCCTATTGTTGACTGGAAGCCTTACTGATAACATAAACAGTTGATTTACATACATTTTGTATATTATATGTATTATATACTGTATTCTCACAATAAAAAAGCTAGAGAAAAGAAAATTGCATTAAGAAAATCATGAAGAGCAAATATGTTTACTCTTCATTAACTGGAAGTGGATCATCATAAAGGTGTTCATTGTCATAGTCTTCACATTGAATAGGCTGAAGGAGGAAGAGGAGGAGTCTTGCTGTCTCAGGGGTGGCAGAAGCTGAAGAAAATCCGCATATGAGTGGATCATGCAGTTCAAACCCATGTTGTTCAAGGGTCAACTACAACTTTTTTCAAAATCAGTGAATAAAATATTTGAGTTATTTTTACAATGCAAGTAAACAAATAGGATTAATTAGCTAAGTTCTTGGGATTTGGGGATGTTCCCGTGAATTGGCTGGAAACAAGCCCATATTTTCCATCCAATCACCTTCTCTGTATTTACTCAACATCTGACTTTAGCAGGCATGAGAGCCAGCTCCCTGACCTGCATGGAGCTGCAGCTGGACAAAAGTGAGCAAGCACCTGGGAGGAGAGAGGGCTCCCATGCATTTCTTCCAGGAGGACCTCTGCCTCATCCAAATCAGTCCCATTTTATTCCTTATCAACACTTTCCCCCATCTACTCTGACAAATAGGACTCTCCCATATCCAAGGCGGGGGGGGGGGGGGGGCCCCCCCCCAACTCAGGATGATACAGTTTAGTTCTATTTTGTTTAAGTATGTGCTAATAATATTCTAAAAAGTGAGAATTTCAAGTTTTCCTAGATGTTTCATTGTCCAAGCATTGTAGCTGCATAAATAGCAAAGGCCCTTGTTTTCTTATCAGGGATGCATTTTTGAGCCCCTCCATTTTCTTCACCTACTCACCCTCTGCTGAAGGAACATCCCAGGAACCCAGAGGCAACAAAAGCAGTTACTTTCTTGGTCAAGGTAGTTTTTTTTTTATTATTATTATGTTGAGAATAAATATCTTCTATGCAATTCTAATTAAAACGAGAGAGATTATGCAAAACTTCATATTAATTCTGATAGAAATTAATAAGAAATTTCTGATAATTCCGGCTACTTACAAATGGAGTTTATTGTTTATCCCCAATAAAGTGTCCTCTCAGAGGCTGCATGAGTATTTGATAGGAACAGTTTTTCCAGAAGGGCTGTGCATTGGATGTGAAGTTAGCAGAATGCCTACATCACAACCACAGGGAGTATATATTTGAAATGCAGAAAATCTAGCTTCAAGCCAGCTGCTTTGGATGGGTCCTGAAACTCTACCATTTAGTAAACTTCCTGTGTGACTCAAATCTAAAGGCTGAGAAGTATTGGTCTAGAATCTATAGAAGTACAAGTCTGAGTCCTAGCTAATCTGTATGTAAGTAGACAACTATTGAAATTCTATTAAGGACAGCCCAAAGTCTGTAATTGTATAATAAAGAAAGTTGATTAACTCCTAAATCAGTAGTCCTCCAACTTTAGTTCAAATAATGTATTTCTGGAGGATCTTATTAAAAGAGAGATTTCAGGGCTCCAGCTCCTCGGACATGAGCTAAGTCCCCAAGTGATTCTAATATGTATGTTCCAAGAAATAAATTCTGAAAACATTGTCCTAAGAAGTACAACCATTCCTTTTACAATGAGCTAGTTCTGTGAGAAGATGGACAATCTAGAATCAAACCAATTAAAACCGACAAGTTTCTTTCTGTACAGTTCCAAATACATCAATGACTTTTTTTAATCAAACTAACTGATATCTTTTCTCCAAGAGAGCTTTGAACATGCATCAATTACTTCAATGAAAAATGATTGTCTACTGTGTGTCTTGGCACCACTTATACCTCTTGATTTGTTGTAGATCTTTGTTTTCTTGTTTCATTTAGATTTTCTAGAAGAAAAAAGAAAAGTGAAAATACCTTCTGAAGTTTCAAAAACGGATCAGTTATCTGATAGGAATCATATTTGTATGTGAAGCAAGATAACTATTTGGTCAGTAGATGACAGTTGCCGTGGATGTCCCCTATGTGAAATGGAATTGCTAATGTTAAGATTGTGATTTTATTCATAACAATGAAAACAGCCTGCCCCAAATAGTTCTTGCTAAAGCTACTTATTCTCATGGCATATATAGCTCATTTTCTAAGGTCATCTTTTTAAGACGTTGCTTTTATGTCTTCTTTTCTAAATATATAGTGCTTCAAATGTAGTCTTCTCTTAGACACCATCATCACTGAAAATAGAACTTGGGTACATATGCAGGCACAGGCCTTATTAAAGGCTCTTCCAAAAGGCTTTCCTTTGCCTATTTATTTCACTTTATACAAAGGCAAATGGTCCAAATAAATATAAGCTGAGAAAGGAGCAGGAGTTTTGGAAGAACACAAAGGAGTGTTTGCCTCCAACCATTTTTTCTTGCTCTGTGATCTGGACAGTTATTCAAGACATCTGAGCCTCAATTTCTTCATCTAAAACTTGAAGAATAAAATACATCCAATTTTCAGAGTCTTCGTGAGAGTTAATGAAGGAATTTTTGTGAAGGCACACTACCCGACGTACAATAAACGCTAAATAAATGTCAATTTATCTTCCTGACCTTTCTTCCCCTGGTTCCTAACCTATTTCCCCCTCCTCCCCTCATCTCCTTCTGCCCTCTCCTTCCTGATTTTTTCACCTTTCCTTGCCCCCACCCTCCTCTTCCCCAACTTCTTCCTGGCTCTCCCTTTATCTCCAGCCTCATCCCACTTACATCTTCTCTGTTCTCTCTTTCCCACTCCGTCCTCTCCCCTTGGCCCTTCCTCACGCTTCCTCCTTTTCCCTCTCCCTCAGTGTTCCAGGCCGCTTTCTGGAAAATGAATCCTCTCTTTGACATTTTCTCTGCTTAGGTCACAAACTAGCTTTCATAATATGTCCCCTACAATCTATTCATCACAGTGTTAACAATCAAGTCAACATTTACCTTTTTTAAAAAAGTTGTTAAAGAGCCACCAGGGCAGAAAAACGTGCTGTTTCTGCCCCCAGCCACCTTATCCCCAACCCGTGTGGCTTCTAATATGTCTATCTGAATTTCAGTGAAGTTCTATTTTGAACTCTTTAATTACAGAAAGATACAGGAAGTTTACTCACTAACACAAATATATTCTACAAACACACACCATGTTCCCCATAAAGTTTTTCTGTAGAGATTTGCTGTTGCTTCAGAAATCACACACATATATGTCACACCTACCACCCCTGGTAACAGAAGACCTGAGCACTATCAGCCAAAAGCCTCAGAGCTTTCTCTGTGGCAAATGTTGTTGCCCTCTTACCCACAGTTCCTCTGGCTAGAGGCAGAGCTTACGAAATATCTGCCACTACACACAGATGCCTTCAAAGCTTCCCTAAAGAAGCCCATCATGTGAGTAGGTCTCATCAGAGGAAATAAGCCAAATGTTACCTCCTGCAGCTTGTGTCCTGAAAGAACCTGTTCCTTGGGTTGTGTCATTCAACAGAGCCCTGAATAAACAGTATAAAAGACACGAGGGCAGCACAGTGAGGCAGAGATAGACCAGCACTTCCACACCTGTCATTGCAGGTAATTAAATAAGCTGTACATTCCAGAAAAAAAAAAAACAGCTGGTGGGAAAACCTGTGTCCGAAGGGCAAAACTATGCCTTCTTAGGCTACTTCCTTTTAATGTGGGCTTTTCCCTTAAGGAGATAAGAAGCTGGAAATGGGATGGAATTTGATGCTGAAGCTAAGCTTCTGGGTCTTTTTCACAGTTGGCTTGATAAAAATAGAACATACATATGTGATATATTTAAGTACAACAAAGAATCAAATAAGAGGAAGTGAGACTTAAAAGTGTGTCTGTGCTTTTTATTTTTGTAAAGAACTAATATACTAAGTTGAAAGGACCATTTTCATTTA